GGTTCTGGAGGTTTAGGTCCAAGATTAGATGGCCCTACTGTTTAGGACTTCCTCTGGTAGGTTAGGTGGCCATGATAGGAAACCAATGAAAGAAACTGGCTCACATATTTTGCTAGATAGTAGATAGATAGATAGATAGATAGATAGATAGATAGATAGATAGATGTAGATAGATGATAGATAGCAAGGTAGAGATAAATGATATATATGATAGACAGGTTGATAGATGATAGATAATAAATAAATGATAGATAGGTGATAGAGGCAGATAGAAGATAGATAGATAGATAGATAGATAGATAGATAGATAGATAGATAACTCTGGTGGTCTCAGGTTTTTGAACACTTAGTTCCCAGTTAGTGGCACTATTTGGAGATTTAGGAGGTATGGCCTTGCTGAAGGAAGTGTGTGACTGGGAGCAGACTTTGAGAAATTATATTTTAGAGTCACTTTTAACTCATTCTTTCTGGGGCATGCTTGTAGTTAGCTCTCTGCTTCTGCCTCCTGCTGTACCACTAACCCTTTGGAACCACAATTCAAAACAAATCCTTTCTTCTGTAAGTTGCTTTGATCACAGTGTTCTATTATGGTGACAAAAAATAACTAACATAATGACAGATAGATACATGATTGATAGATAGCAGAAATCATAGATAATAGAAGATAGGCAGATAGATAGTGATAGATTAGGCAAGGGGGGGGGCTAGAGTCCTTCAGTCCCTTCCAAGTCCCTACCTCAATGACCCCAGGGCTTCCTTCAAGTCGCCACCTCTTAAAGGTCCACCAGACCTTGCAGTACTGCTATTCTGGGACACCCATCCAATCCTTTTTCTGATTCTGTGACCTTAGGGGACTTTTATGACATTCTCTTGTCCCTTTATACCTGGTATATCCAAGAGGATTAAATGAAATGGAGTCTGCAAAGCTGCTCCTCATGCACACAGTGAGGCTGCATGTTGGTGCTGGTGATTGTCAAAACCCTCCTCGGAGAGCATATCCTCCTTAGAATTTTCTACAAAGCTTTGGACATCTTCTTACAGATAAGACCAGATGGAATAGCAAACTTCCACTTCCATGTCCTCCCCTGGGACAGCGGAGAATATAATGGCCTTGTTTTAGGTTGCTATTACTTTTGCTACTATTAGCAATACTAACACTACCCTATGTGCCCAACCTGCTTAATATGAGTAGATACTACTTGGAGAGCTATCATTTTTGTTTTTGTTTTGTGGGGGGTGGGGCATGTGCACGTGTGTAAGCATGTGGCATGTGCACGTGTGCATATGTACATAAACATGCATTTATACATGTGTGGAGGCCAATGGTCAACACCAAATCTCTTTCTCAATTAATCTCCACCTTATTTTTTGAGACAGTTTTCACTGAACCTGGAGCTGCT